TGGTCGACCTTTCAATGTTTTCACTCAAAAATCTGTAGTTGATGAGAAATTCATCAGAAGATCATCAATTAAATGTCAAACAATCGCTGGAGTTGATGCAAGCCAGCTTTGCCTTTTTCTGAAGGTAAAAAAGTTCATCAACAGGACTGTTCATTAAATGGAAGTTTGGCGCGAATATGTAAAAGTTCAAAGCTACAACTAACCGTTCTCGCAATTTTGAGAATATGGTCATGTCTATTTAGTTGGAAACAAGACCAGAATGCAAAATTGTGAGCGTTTTGAAATCTGGAAAACAGAAGAAAATTGACAGTTTTATTGTGGACGGTTATTGATATCACTGTAAAACAGTGTTCGAAACAATGAGACGATACTGCCACTTCCTTTCTCGTCAAGAAGCTTGTCCCGGGATATTGACCGAGGTAATGAAAAGAGAGAAAAGAACGATATAAGACTCGAATACATTAAAAATAAAGGACAGTAGGCTGATGAAATGAGGGAGTGTCTGGTGCGAAAAAGTCAAAACCGATGACAAGATGGAAATTTACCTCAGAACCCATATTCCTCACAAAAAAAACTCTTTCTATAGACTCATATTTTGTAAAAATAAAAGATGGATATAGTTTTGGCTATGTTCAAGGCAATTTAGTTGTTTCACTTGAACTAAAATCAAAATTGGCCAAATTCTCAATTTTCAAAAACGCCGACGTTTTTCCAAATAAAACTATGCGATCGAGATAAAAATGTTAAAACAACTTTAGAGAACGCTGATAGCTAGTTTTAAGCTAGAAAATGGAACAATTATAGCTCGTCTGTTCACCTTTTATTTGGCACTTGACTTGCAGTGCACCAAAAATCACTGTTTTGTTCACTATAATTGCACAAAAAATGTTTCAATAAGTTCGGTCAAACAGTGGTTGATGCTAAAAGAGAAGGAGATGAAAACCCTCTATCATATAGCTGAAACAATTAAACTTTTGGGTAATTCCTCGTTTGAATATCAGATCATGTGATCATGGATAGATCCAGACATACAATCTCGACATGACTCAATGATGAAAAAACTCATAAGGCATACAACATACCACTATTCAAGATACTGAACACAGTTGAGAAAGACTTGTATGAGGTGAAATTGTTGAAATCAACCATTGCACACAGAGAATCCATCAATATTGAGTTTTTAATTCTGCAGTATGCAAAACCGAGAATGTCGGAGCTTAACTACAGCTTCTTTGACAAATTTTGCGATGTAGAAAAACTCTAAGAGTTGGAGATGGACAAAGACTCACTTTAGTTAGCACTTGCTGAAGAAAATTTATATGACTGCATCCAAATAGATAACAGTGCTGTTTTGGAAAAATTTAGGAAAACTACTGCAGACTCTTTCAAGGCAGATGCGAAACTTAATTTTTTTTCCTGAACGTGTTGCAGTACCCATAAAATGCATATTAAATGGGACCCGGGGTTTTAGATATACGGAAATCCTCTGTTTGAGTAGCAAGACGTATTGCTGCTAAGACACTAAGTCAGATAAATTCAAACTCAGTAAAAATAGTAAATGTTTGACCAAACGAGTTCTAAAATTTTATGCAGATGGGTCCATGTCAAAGTACAGGAGAGTACTCGATGAAGCAATCAACCTAACATCTACAAATAGAGGATTCAGAGCCGTACACCACATACGAGCAAACAAATTAAGAACTTAGTTATTTTTATCCAAAAGACAAGTTAAAGATGATGGCGTGCATACTAAACCATTGAGTTTAAAAGACCTTCTGCAATATAATAAACTTATAAGAAGTGATGAAATGTATTCAACTTGTGTACGATGCAGTATTCTGCTGGTTTTAAATTTTTTTTGTTATGTGAAAGCGGTAAACTTAAACTACGACGCAGTGATTTATATATTTTCTTTGCAAACAATTTTTTTTCACAGGTTGAGTTTTTTCTCGAAGCAAATTTTATCTAGGTTAAATATAAGATGATAATAAAAAATAAAACATAGCTTGAATAATATAGAATATTATCGTGTCTTGAAGTTTTTTGAAAAATTTTCAAATTTTTTGTTAAGAAATCTAAGTTTCTGCCCAAAAATTCATTCCATTGACTTAACATGAAGCAAACAGACTAATTACAAGACCTTCATTTCACAACTTACACGTAATTAACCATTGGTAATTTCCAATTAGATAAAGCGCGCCGAAATGTTTGCGAAAAAACTAGACACTTGCACACAAAATCTAAAAAACTATCGTTTTCTTACCATTACACAAACCGTGAAGCTTTACCAATTGTATTCCCTATCTTAATACACTGAAGTTTCTTTACCCAATGTTAATGCATAGAATGGAAGACCGGAAACTTTTAACCTAATACATGGGGTCTTCCATGCCCCCCTCCCCACTTCCAACCCAACATCTACTACTTCATCACCTCTTTTAGCAACCCCTTCCCCAGTTTACCCCCCTCCACAGCTTACCCCTCGTCAGTTTGCCATCCCTGCCACCTCCCCCAACCAATTTACCTCTTCTCAGTTTAACCCCCCATGTTAGCATCAACCCCCCACCCCCGTTTACTAAATGTGGGCGGGCGGAAAAAGTAGGGAGAGAGTGGAACAAAAAACATAGGTAAAAAACAGGGGGTTAACTGTAACTGGGGGGGGGGGGGGGGATGGAGGGTTAGGGTTGGGGGTAAATTTTAGTAAACATGGGGCTGGGCGCATGAATAAATGCAGGTGTGGTTTAAATGCAGGCGTGAGAGGAGAGGGAAGGGTAGGAACAAATGCGGATGGGGGCAAAGTGACGAGGAGGGGGGAGGTTTAATTTGAGTAGGTTTAGATAGCGAGTAGGCCGTGACTAACGCAGAACTTTTGACAGTTTTGCAATTTATTTTGCAAAAAATGTAAAGATTATAATCCGTTATAACCAATTATAATGGATTTTGATTGGATTATAATCCATTATTGAGAATTTTATTGGATTGTGTTTTAACGAAAACATTCGAGTATAATGATAAGTTCATCAATTTTTTGGTCTAAATTTGCAACATTAATGGATTATAATGACAATTTAGAAAAAAAAATTCCATTATAATCGATTATTATCCATTAATTCATGGAATTCCGTTGCGAGATGTAACCATCCGCAATTTTTTGTAATGAAACTTTGTGATTTGATTTTGAAATTTTTTGGGAAAGATTACTGTTGTTTTTGATAGGTTCGCTCTTCTGATGAGACATCAGAGAATATAGAATCAAATAGTTAATTCTCCTGAGGACAACTTTCTTGGGCCAGTGCCCATCTTTTGGTCCAATCTAAAAATCAGATATGCAGATTTCTGTTCAGATTCTTCGGAGGTAATTCCAGATTTGCAGACTTATGGTCATTGCTTGCAGCATTTGTGTTGAGGTTTAGCAGACGTAGGTTGAAACTTGGCAGATTTTTGTTTGGACTTTGCAGACTTATATATCTACATTGAAGTCCTAGGTTCAGTTTTTTTAGATTCTTGTTCAGACCTTAGTTTGCGTTGCTACTAGACATTTTTGGTCTGCTGATCGGCTCAAATTTTATGCAGAATTGTGTTCATGCTTAGCAGACTTATCAGAATTCATAGGTCGCAGACTTCTTTACAGACATTGTAGATTTATGTTTGGACTTTGCTGGCTTGTGCTTAGATTTTGCAACTTTTTTCAGACTTCCAGTTATATTATTAGGCTTTGCAGAACCATGTTCAAAAACTGAGAGCCCGTGTCGTCTTTTTTGCAGATTTCTTTGACGAAATTGTAGATTATGCTCAGATTTTGAAGTGTTTTTGTTTAAATTAGGAGACTTTGTTCAGATTTTGCGGATTTTTCCAAATTGCAGACATATTATCAGACGTTGCAGATTTATGTTCAGATTTGCTGACTCACGTTGATTTTTTCAGACTTGTGATAAGAGAGTTTATGATGCAGTTCCAGTTATGCTCAGACTTATGTACAAACTTTTATTCAAACTTATGTTCAGACTTTGCAAGCTTTGATTCGCACTGCGGTTCAAACGTGGATCGTTTCAGACTTATGAATTTTCTCTATAGGCTTAGTCGACTTAAGCACATACTTTTCAGACTTCTTTTCAGTTTTTGCTGCGTTGGATTTAGACTTTGCAGTTTCATCTTCCAATTTTGCAGACTTAAGCTCAAACTTTGAAGCATTGCGTTTAGCCTAAGAAGAAATATTTTTAAGTTTGCAGAGTTGTTTTCAGATTTTGCAGCTTTAAGCTCAGAATTTGTAGGCTATGTTACGGTTTTGCAGAATTTAGTTCATACTATGTAGACCTAGATTTGCGTTGCGAATATCACTTTTTGGTCGCAGCGCGGATCGGTTCGGACCCTCGATTTTGATTTAAACTCTGACAAACTAATCAAAATTTAAACATTGACGAAATAATCAAAAATTTATGTTTCGTTTTTTTTTCTTGAATTTATTTTGCAGACGCTTCTGTTAACTTCAAATGGTTGTATTGAGCGAAGAAAAACATCAACAACCCAATTCGAAATCACGAACAAAAACTAAACAAAACTGCTCGTATCAGGGCGAAGTACTGAATATTTTGACTGCCTTTTAAGGCTTTTGGAGCAGTAATAACAAGGAAAATTTAAATATAATCAAACAAATTGAATTTTTTTTCTTCTAAAAATTGCCATTTTCTTCTGACAGGTTAACTCTTCGCTTACACGTTGATAGCGCGAAATAAATTGCTCGTTAGTTGTCCCAAATTGGCAAAAATGGCAATCTATAAACCCCATAACTTTACAAAAAATGATCTTTTCAAATTTAAGCTCATGACAACAATACCTTCGAATGATATAAAAAATTCTGTCATCAAAAATTGCTAGGTAAAAAGTCAAAATTTGTCTGAAAAAGAACCACTCCGAGCACAAATATTCCGTTACTTTCGTACTGAAAGTCGAAACAAATAGGAAAATTATAAATATGTTTGAAAACTAAACTTATACAACAGGAGCTGGAGGCACAGCTACGACTGGAGGCGCAGCTGCAGCGGCAGCAGCAGGAACCACGGCAGCAGGAGGTACGGCTGTGGCAGCAGGAGGCACAGCTGGGGTGGCAGGAGGTACGGCTGCGGCAGCAGGAGGTACAGCTGGGATGGCAGGAGGTGCCGCTGGGGTGGCAGGAGGTGCAGCTGCTGCAGAAGGCGCAGCAGCAGGTGGTTTGTCAGTGGGAGGGTATGCTTTAAGTGCAGGAGCCGCTGTAGTTGGTGCGGTGGCGGCTGTTGCTGTTGTTTCTGTGACTTCATTGATAATCGGAGGCGTCACAATCTACAAATATTCAAAAACCAAAGATGGATACGAAGAAGAACTGCGCAAAAGACTCAATTCAACTTACAAACTGGCCATCAAAGTGGAAGAAGAAAAGGCAAAACTAGCAGGGATCTACTAAACTCATCGCAAAAGGAAGAGTTCAAAAGCCTTTGACCGAAATTTAACGATTTTATATGAGCTACAAAATTAACAATTTCTGTACAGAATTGAGATATTTTTCCACTTTCTGAAAAAACCACGAATTTTCTTTGCGCCTATTATGTATAAAATTTGGTGCTGCTTATTTTGAACAAATTCTAATTGGCATTGGAGCAAACTCTAATTGGAGAGCTTTTGTTCGATTTTAACAAACGGAAAAAAAATAATGAAGGTGCTTTCAAATAAAACAATTAATTTGTTAAATGTCAAAAAAGGCAAATGTTTGCAAGCAAATCGAAAAAAGCTGCAAATGAATTTTCTGTAAATAAACTTCTATTGTAATCCATTTGTTTTAACCCGAATTAAATAAAGTTAGAAGTTCAATCTGTTTTTTTTTGTGCTGAATGATCCAAAATCTATGCGTTACGTTGCGCGAACCCTTAACTTTCTCATGATATGCAACTTTCAGCTAAGATATGGCTTCAAATGACAAGTGTTTGCAGTTTACTAGCGTTGGCATTGTGGGAGAGACTAAAAACGGATTATCATCCTTGGCCAATGCATTAATGGGATATAGATTTGATGAAGCCGGTGTATTACCATCAGAAGCGGCCAAGATTGACAACGAAAATCCGCCTAAAGAGCCTTGTCTATTCTTATTACCTGAAGGTGAGAAAATAGGTCTCTGGGACTTTCCAGCAATTGGGATGAATCATTCACTGGAAGACTACACACGCGTGATGAACAAAATGACAGAAGCAGGCATGAACATAATTTTAATTGTGTTTCGAGATGTGGTCAGCACAGTGGTTAGATCTCTCATCGAAGATGCTGTGGCAAGACAGACGCCTTTTATGCTCGTGAGAACGCACGTGGACGAAACGATAATGAAAGCGGCGAAACGTAAAGCTCCTGAAAGTGAAGTTGTCGCGACAATAAAGACAAACACATTAAATGATTTGAGCAGCATAGATGGATTGAAACCTGAAAATGTGGCCATCTATTTGGTCGATTGCTATGAATGGGAGAGTCATGACCTTGGAATGCTGAAAGAAGCCCTGATCAAAAAAGCGTCAAATATGCAGACAAATATCGAGCCCACCGAGCAAAAATTACCTTTAAAATCAACAGAATGCTTGACAACGCTGACTCTCGATGTCATAAATGATACTAACCATGATACAGAACCGAAGGAACGCATGTCGAAGACTAGTTTCGAATTTATTCGCACAGTAGGAAGAAACCTCATGAGATGTGGACGAGCGGCGCGAAACCATTTCCTTTGGTGGACCATTCCAATAATCACACTAATTGCCTATTTCATTTCTGGTCACAAGATGCCATCATATTCTGTTGTGTAAGCTTGGGTTTTCACAGGAAAATTACTCTTCAAATGAAGCCATAATAAATTAGATGGAAATATAACAGAAGATGTCAACCTCAACCACAAAACTAAATCAAATCTGAAAAGTAGAGACACGACCACCTGACTCAGCATATATCAATTCAAATAAAAATGTAATCATTTCAATTGTTGCTACTCTCAAGAGACTTTACCAAATGCGTGCACGCAGTAGATCGATCAGCTGGAAAAAACTCGCCCAAAACGAAACACGTCTTTTAGTATCAGGGCGAAGCATTTAACGTTTCCACTGCCTTCTTAGTCCAATTGGACAGTGTTGGCCTAGAAAAAATTGATGAATTTTTCAAACAAAGTGGAAATTTTTTCTTATAAATATTTTATCATCTAACCACACGTCATATAAATAACAAAATGATAGATGTTGCTCCTACTAACGAATAAGTTATGACAAAATGCCAGTTTCAATCAATTTGGAACGAGTTTTCAGCGGGATTAAACAGCCGCTTACATGTGAATAGCGCAAAATATATCACAAGGCCAAATTATCTTCCTTAAGTTTGCAAAAAAAATCACAGGTGAAACATTGTTTTAAGTTTGAGCTCAAGACAACAATACTTTTCTGCTGATATAAAAACTTCGACAAAAATGGCTTGTTGAAAAGTCGGAACTTGTCTGGAGGAAAATAAACGACCCCGATCACAAAAAAGTTTCAAAAGCCGGAACATAAATGAGTCAAAAAGCAAGAAAACTTGAAAGAACGGTTTCTCATCACTAGAAAACAAATTAGACAACAAGTGCAACCGTTTCAAACACTTCAAACAATTATTTTATTTTCCGCAAACTATTTTTTGGGGATCAATTGAAACTGAGTAATCTACGCATTTTAGACAGACCTGGAGCAAAAATTAAAGTGTCAGACTTTATTCTTTTTAATGTAGTAAAACATGAGAAATTTTTCTTTACACGTTAAAACCGATTCAAAGCAGAGTTTAGATACATTCTTCTTTATATATTGGTTACCTATTTCCCCCCTTACAGACTTTGTAAACTATTTACCCCCGTTGCGTGTATTAATATTCATGTATGTAATGCAAAGCCCTGAATGTTCTGACTGCCCTTCAATTGATCTGAGATAGTCTTTGATAAAATGAATTTTGACAAAAATGTGAATTTTTAGCTGATAATATCAAAAATTAAGTGTTTTAATCTCAGTCAGGCATGGAGTTAATAGAACCAATAAGCTGCATCAATTCAATTTCGAATGATTTTGTAGTGTGGGATTAAAAAACAAGCAGCTATAGATATACTCTTGCCAGGTTACTATAGTGTTGTGCACACTCGGCTGGCCCATGGATATCAGAAAATTGATATCTCGAGGGACAAAAATTTCCTGAATAAAAAACCTCCCCGGGCATATATATTCCTCACTTTCATCGAAAGTCGGAACGAAAACCATCCCCAGCACTAAAGTTGCGTTTTCCGTCACTTTTTGCTATAATCTGAACAATAACTCATATTCTCTTAAGTCCTAAACATCTTTACCTGACTGCTCGTATCAATCGCAAGCTCTGAAAATTCCGACTGTCCTTTACGGTCTCTAGAAGATCGAACACTTAAAACGAATGGATGGCTTCTCAAGAGAAATTGAAAATTCAATTTTTTCAATTTTTTCTTTGAAACGCATCTATCCATGCAAAGCGTTTTTTTTTAAAATTCACGCTATGCAAAGAAGAAAGTCGTATTATAAGATAAAGCTTAGTTGTATGCCTTTGAGTATGATCAAATAGTATGCCAAATTTCAGTTTGAAATGTTTTATTAGACGGATAACATCTCTGCTTACGCGTTGTTAGCATAAAAAGATGGTGCGTTAATTATCCTAATTGGTCATTTTAGCAATCTTTAAACCCTCATAACTTAACAAAAAAAGTTCACAAACAAACAATTTTTTAAAATTTGAACTCAATACTTTTTGACTGATCAACAATACTTTGGCTGATAATTAAAATACAAATATTCCGTCACTTTTTCAAAGAACGGATCAAAAAATATTTGCTTCAACATTTGCTTCAAAAGTGATTAAGCATGAACAACGGCACATCTAATATAAAACTCATCAACCACTAACCAATAAACTAATCCGAAAAGCAAACAATCCAGACCTTTTATTTCGGCACTCTTCGAGTTTCTTTTCAAATAGTTTTTGATATCAGATTACGACACAGAAGGCGGCTTTGATATTAAACTACCGTCAACTGTGTTTTTTATATGAGATATCTCTGAGCGCAAGAAGCGAAACGCTCACTATGCCTTTCTTCATCGTAAATGAACTCTTGAAATATACCGTTACCCCTGAACACTGATGAAAATGATTATATTTCCATCCTGTTACATTTTTCTTCTAAACATCAAAAACAAGCACGAAAGCAAAAAAAATGTTAATTTTAGTATATTGTTTTGCAGAAAATTTTCATTGCAAAAAAAAATTTAAATGAAATTTCTAAGATTTCAGTAAATGAAATTAGGATTTTTAGCCTTAAACACTTTGAAAAGATTATTTTTTTGAACACTACTCGGCCGTTTTATTTGCTCCAAAGTGAATCAACACTCTAAAAGTATAAGCCAGTTTTTCTCGTTATTGGGACAATTTTACTGAAAAATATAGAGGTTTATCACAAAGTTAGGAATATCAAATCACGACTGAAAAAGCTTTAAAACAATATTCTATTTGATCCAAACCCATGACCTGATTTATCCTAGTTTTTTCTAGAAAAAAAGAGAAAAAAAGTCATAGCTCCTTTTTCTCGATACTGTTGTAAGTGTCTCGCTCGTTTTTTCTCGATACAAATACATTTTTTTGACATTTTTAAAGGTCTACAGGATCAGCTTGAAAGGATTTTATTTTGACATATCACTTGGCCCATTCCAATAAGTAGTTTACTGAATTTGCGTGAAAAACCAAAAAACTTCATGAAAAACCTTAAAAAAAACCAGAATACAATGTTCGTCCCCATTGTCAATTGTCAAGATGAAAACAACTTTGGCCTGAAAGTTTTCCCGGGTTGACCTCGATACACCGAAAATGCTTATCATACAATTGTATACAACAAAAATCCTTATGATACAATTCCATACATCAAGTATACGGAGAAAACGGACTTTACTTTTTTTAATTATGCTTACCATATAAATTCCATATATGAAACACGTATGACAAGCAATTTGGCCTCAAGGGACAATTTTTTCAAAATTGTTTTGCAATACTGTTTAAAAAAGTTCAAATCAGTTAGTAGCATTTTTAATGAAGGATGAGAACAAATTGCGAAAACAAATCCGTTCAAATCCAAGTGAAGGAGAAGCAACTAAAAACGAAAAAATAAAAATTTCGTTTAAATTTTTTCTCTAGAAATTGGTTTGATGCAAGTAACTTTTCTGGAAACTGTCACCGTTTAGCATTAATAATAATTCAAATTAGGTACTAATGCCTTATAATTATGTAGTTTACTCATTTCTATAAAAAATAATTAAAGATGAAAAAAAAATAGAAATTTTTTTTTCCTTGGCTGAAAAACATTACTTTTGCCTGATAATAAAACGTACAATTATTCCGTCACTTTTTCAAAAAACGGAACAAAAAATATTTGCTTCATTTTTTTTCTGCGAACTTCAGCCGAATGACGAGTTAATTTTACCGATAAAACACGTTTTATCAGCTGGCAAATTTTTTTGTACAAATAAGAAGAGCCAGTCGCTGTGATTGACTATCCAAAAATACCAAAAAACGTTACAATAAAAGATATTTATTAAAAGAATGCATTTACTTCAACTTTCATTTGAGAAAAAAAACTTTGATTGAAATAGTGCATGCCAAAAAGTGACTAACCATGAACAACGGCACATCTAAAATAAATTTGATCATCCACTAACCAATAAAAAAATCC